AACAAAAAAATAATTATTCCCTTCTGCCTTTGCCTTCTTTTTATTAGTAAAAAGTGAATTATGAAAAAATATAGCCTGAGCCACACATGTAGCTCATTTCTTTAAACATTTCTTTCATTTTCTTTTCTGTATAGTGATATTTTTCTAAATTAACTTAAACTAGTAAGTGTGTGATTAATATCATCTTTTAGAATTGGTTCGTTTTAAAATATAGAGACATGTACTAGTCATGTAGTAGATTTTAATTTTGAAAACCTCTATAGCTTTTTTTTTTTTTTTTTTTTTTTTTTTTTTTTTACATTGTAAGGTCTTCTAATGTTTCTTACCTATTCCAAGCTGAAATCTAGATTTGATAATCAGGGGTTTTTGAACTTCTCTTACACATATCTCATATGTTTATCTCTGTGAAAACAATCCTGTACTGACTTGTACTGTTTTCTTCTGCTTTGTTTTTTCTGTCTGATCCTCACCATTTTGAGCTGCTGAAGACGGGAGGTGGTAAAATAAAATTAGAGAGAGGCCTTTCCCTTGGAGCAGCAATTCAAAACATCCCCATGCCCAGTTAATGTGATGTAAAATATATAATAACCCCTTTCTTTCCACACCCATCTTCCCATTGCTCTGTGCCCCTAATATGGTTTATGAATATTGATGGGAAAGACGGTACTTACATTATTAAGACTGATGCTCACCCTAGCCAGTTTGGCTTGGTGCCATGGTTGGCAAATTGCGGCTCCCAAGCCACATGCCGCTCTTTGGCCCCTTGAGTGTGGCTCTTCCATAAAATATCATGGCCTAGGCAAGTCTATTTTGAAGAAGTGGCGTTAGAAGAAGTTTAAGTTTAAAAAATTTGGCTCTCAAAACAAATATCATTTGTTGTCTGTTGATATTTGGCTATGTTGATTAATGAGTTTGCCGACCACTGCCTAGTGGATAGAGCACTGGCCTGCAGATTGAGGGGTCCTGGGTTCCTTTCCTGTCAAGGGCATGTACCTAGGTTTCAGGCTCTGTCCTTGACCCTGGTTGGGGCACGTTTGGGAGGCAATCAATCGATGTGTCTCTCTCACATCAGTGTTTCTTTCTCTCTGTTTCTCCGCCTCCCTCCCACTCTCTCTAAAAAAAACCAAAAAACCAAAACAAACAAAAAAACACAATGGAAAAATATTCTTGGTGAGGGTTAACAACAACAACAAAGAAGACTGATGTTCTTCAGCGCTAAGCCACGGAGTATAACGTGCTTGTTGTATGCATATAATACATATAACAAATCTTAGTTACTCTCATAGTCATAACTAGAATTTACTAAAATAGAAAGTAACACCTTAGCCATTCAAACCATGAAATTTTAAGATCAGGAAAAGACTAGATTTCTTTGGAGTCAATAGTTATCTCCCCAACCCCCTTCATTTGCTTTGTTTCCAATGGAATTATTACAAATTCACTCCCAAACTCTGCCAGCTGTTTATCTCCATCGGTTTCATCTTCTTGCAGATACTGCTCCCAGGGCCTTCTGACCTGCTCCAGCCTTCTTGTCTGGTGGCCTGCTACATGGCCTTTACTATCATCCTGGAATTTTCTTCTCTTCTTCTTATGGTAGATGCCCTTTCTGATTCTAATATTTTCCCCCTTTCTTGATTTATACTTTTTGGATGGAGCTCATCCTCCAGGATCTTCCTCTGAAAGGATGCATAAAGTGAAATATTTTGAGACCTTGCCTGTCTTAAAGTGTTTTTATTTAACCCTTAACTTATTTAGTAGTTATATGGTTCTAAGGATTCTTATCTGGCATTCAAATTGCCGTTAGCACTTTGACGGCATTGCTCCATTATCTGGCTTCTGTGGTTGATTTTTATGAAACATGAAGACATTTTTCTGCTTCAAATCCTTTTCATGTGGTTTATTTCTCCCCACCCCCTTCTGGAAACCTAATTGAGCCACACCAGCCCAGGTTTTTTCTCATCTATCTGAGAATATTATTAGTTTTTTCCTATGCACGGTCTGTTTCCTTTGAACGTTTTTAAGGAATTCCTAATGTAAACAACATATTTAAGTCTCGACCTTGTTGGATTCCCCAGTAAATAGATTTCTGTATTGGCTTGACTGCCTAAGTTCTTGGGGCTGATAGCTGAAAGTAGGGAATGAGATTTCAATAGTCATTGTCTTTGTCCTTGGGTTCGCTTAGTTCCACTGTTGCCTGATTGGGAACCCTGCTTTCCTTTATGCCTGCTGTGCCCCAGCCTGGAGAACCTCTGCAGAAGCTAAATGTTGGGTCTCTGTCAGGTTTTATGGCAGACACCCAGTTGTTCTGTAAACAGCTGCCAGTCAATACTCTTAAACAAACACACACACACACACACACACAACACAAAAAAACAAAAACATACCACACACACAAAACACTCCCGATCCCCACTGGTATCTGCGCCAACATTTCCCTGAACCTTTTGAAGATCCTGTTGCATAAACAGAACTGGTTCTTTCTTTCCTTACAGTTAAGCCTGAGATTCTTGGGTGTCTTTAACCAGTTGCCTTTCATCCACCTGCTTCTCAGATTTTACTTGCTGCCTCTTCTCTCACTTTTCCAAAGTCATTTTGCCTGTCCTCCCACTCCAGTGAGCACTCAACTACACCTTAATACTGACTGATTGGAGCTTGCCACTTTACATTAGAACACTTCTAGTGACCATAGTTACCTCAAGTGCATTTGGATTAACTTTCCTTGTTACTAGCATTATAAAAAAGCAGAGTTTACTTTCAGTATTTATAGAACTTAGTACTCTTGGGCTGCTTGGTTTTAATTTCAAAAAGCCACAAATTAAGAACCATTGCCTTAGGTACTGGTTTCCCTTTTCTTCTTTGTTTGGTGGAATTATTTTCTTCTGGCCCAAACCAGTTTGGCTCAGTGGATAGAGCAGCGGCCTGGGGACTGAAGAGCCCCGGGTTCGATTCCAGTCAAGGGCATGTGCCTTGGTTGCGGGCACATCCCCAGTAGGGAGTGTGTAGGAGGCAGCTGATCGATGTTTCTCTCTCATAGATGTTTCTAACTATCTAACCCTCTCCCTCTCCTTCTCCCTTCCTCTCTGTAAAAAATCAATAAATATTTATTTTAAAAAATTATTTTCTTCTGCCATTTCTTCTTAGGTTGTGTTTTCTACTTAAAAAAAACACTCATGACAGGATTCACAGGAGGTCTCTCTCAGGAGAGGCATGGGTGTTCTAGGATAGTTGCCAAGTCCTAAAGTAGACTGTTGGTGAGGAAGACTTGGTGTGAAAGACTTACTTTCAGAATTCATGAGCTTTTGTATTTAGAGTGGTTCTGATTCTTCAGTCATTGGCTTCATCGACTATTCTCAACCCATATTCTTCAAGGAACTAAGTCCTTTTATGAAATCAATGTGAGAGAGAAATATCCATCAGTTGCCTCTTGCACACACCCTGACCAGGGACTGAGCCCTCAATCTGGTAATGTGCCCTCACTGGGAATCGAACCGGGGACCTTTCAATGCATGGGGTGACACTTAACCGAGCAACACCAACCAAGGCCAATTATCGTACTTACAATTCCAGACTTCTATTGGTTCTTTTTTTAAAATTTCTATCTTTTTATTGAAATACTCAACTTGGTTAAATATTATTCTCATACTTTCTTTTAGTTTTTTTCCTCTGAACATATTTATAATAACCAACTTAAAGTCTTTCATCTGTCCAACCTCTGGGCTTCCTCAGGGGCAGGTTTTATTACTGTTTCTTTCTTGTGTTTCCAGAGTTTGTTTCTTTTTATTTTTTTTAATATGTTTTTGTTGATTTCAAAGAGAAAGGGAGAGGGGAAAATATTATAGAAACATAAATGATGAGATTGATTTTTTAAAAATATATATATATTTTATTGATTTTTTACAGAGAGGAAGGGAGAGAGATAGCCAGAAACGTCGATGAGAGAGAAACATCGACCAGCCGCCTCCTGTACACCCCCTACAGGGGATGTGCCCGAAACCAATGTACATGTCCTTGACTGGAATTGAACCTGGGACCTTTCAGTCTGCAGATGATGCTCTACCACTGAGCCAAACTGGTTTCGGCGAGAAAGAATTATTGATTGACTGTCTCCTGCACTCCCCCTACTGGGGATTGAGCTAAAAAACCTGGGCATGTGCCCATGACTGAATTGAACCTGGGACCCTTCAGTCTGCAGGCCGACACTCTATCCACTGAGCCAAACCAGCTAGAGCTCCTGTTTCTTTATGTGCCTTGTAATTCTTGTTGTTGAAAGTAGACATTTTATAATGCGTCAACTCTGGAAATCATAGTGGTTTGATGTTGTTGCTGTTTGTTTGTTTAGTGACTCTCCTGAGTTAATTTTCTAAACTCTATATTTGTTGTGTGAGGCCACTTAAGTCTTTGTTCAGTTAGCTTAGAGGTCTCCTAATGATTAGACAGAGATTTCTTCAAATGCCTTGAACCAATAAGGAGCAGGACTTGCTTAAAGGAATAATTTGTTTAGAAATATGAAGTTTTAATGGCTGAGATGGTTACATATTTTACCAGGATTTTCCAATGCTTCCTTTCTAGTGGAGTTTTGGAGTAGGGTGGAGGACAATAGTTGGAAGAAGATGAGGATATCAGCTAATTCAATTGCAGGACTGTTTTTAATGAGCCAGTGAGCATTGGTCATCTTCACAGTGGGGACAGGATATGTTGGATTTTTCCAATCATATTGGGCCATTAAATTATTCCCTGACACATACTTTGGGGCATACTACCAGAGTTTTCATTGAAAGTACTTGAACTAAATTGCGGGGTATTTTCAAACATTAGCACGCCACAAACATAACATTGGAAAAATAAGACTAGAGAGAAGGAAATATTAAAATGAGAAATCAACCAGTCATAATTTTGAGGAGGAAAAAATAGTGAATTTATAGGATTAGTTCATCAGCATGCTTACTGAGTATCTATGTGTGCATTATATCCCTTCACACTTTTCTCTTTTCATTTAACAGATTTTTTTAAAAACCTCATGGGACATAACGCCATTGCTGGATGCCTGGTAGAATTAAGAAACCTGAATGCATGAGAGGCACTTTACATGGGCGAGGATGTTATCTGAATCAGAACTAAGTGAGTCAGACTTTCCTTAATTATAAATGGTTAAAAGGCGGGGGGGATATATATATATATATAGGCACTTATTGTAACATTATACTAATAATTGTCAATTATTTTTATTTGTATGATTAATATTCACAATTTATTTCCTAATTAAGTATTTAAAAGTTCTAGTGCCAATTCTGATGTTGAAAATAAATTATAAGATCTCTATAAATCTTATATGAAGGTACTTGATGATATTTGGCTTTCTTTGTTAGAACAGTAGCACTTAGCCCTAGCTGGTTTGGCTTAGTGGATAGAGCATCAGCCTGAGGACTGAAGGGTCTCAGGTTCGATTCTGGCCAAGGGCACATGCCTGGGGTTGCGGGCTCAATCCCCCTTAGGTGGCAAACAGGAAGCAGCCAATCAATGATTTCCTTTCATCATTGATGTTTCTATCTCTCCCTCCCTCTCTGAAATCAATATATATATATATATATTTTTAAGAACAGTAGCATTTAGTTATAGAATGAACTACCAGGTTATAAAATTGATTTATAGTCTGTTATAATCAATGCAAGAAATGCAAACCTGTGTCTCTGTTTTGAATTGGTGAATGTTTTCTTCCTTTGATGCCTGGTATCGAACTGAACTAAATGAGGTCAACTCAGAACAGTTCTAAACGTGGCCTGGTTTTAGCTGAGCTTTTCTGGTCCAGTTTGAAAATTCCACTGACCAGCTTTTCCTTCAAAGTTTCCTTAGAAGTTACAGCTATTTTTTAATATCTCCCTAAGTGCATCTCCAATCCTAAATGGGTCTGATTTATTCAAATATTTGGGCCTGTTAATGTCAAATGAGGGGCATTAATGGACCTGTCAGTAAGAATCCAGATTAGCCGAAGCCGGTTTGACTCAGTGGTAGAGCGTCGGTCTGCGGACTGAAAGGTCCCGGGTTCGATTCCGGTCAAGGGCGTGTGCATTGGTTGCGGGCACATTCCCGGTAGGGGGTGTGCAAGAAGCAGCTGGTCGATGTTTCTCTCTCATCGATGTTTCTAGCTCTCTATCTCTCTCCCTTCGTCTCTGTAAAAATATCAATAAAATATATTAAAAAAAAAAAAAAAAAGAACCCAGATTAGTAATGATTTTAAGGTCAGAGGTGCTAATTAGAACTGGCACAAGATCAAAAACCCACCAGCTGTGGAGAGTTCAGTACTTACAGTCTAGGTCTTCAACTGTGTTCCACACCCTAGAGGTAAAATGCTTATTGTAAGATATTTTAGCATATCCTTATACTAGGGTTTTTTGTTTTTAATTTTTAAAAAAAACAATGTGGCATTAATACTAGATACTGTGGGTTTCTATTATAGTACTCCTTTTCCTTTGCTTGATTCATTGTTTTTATTTTGAAAACCTGACCTCATAGCAAAGAGGGCAGTTTGGAGCCTGAGAAAATGTCATGGAAGACTGTATTTATAGGTATCCTTTCTGTTTTCTTTTAGTTCCTGCTCTTCTCCTCTTAAAGATGCCTTTGCACTTCTGGTAAACACTCTCAAGGCCACGGCAGAGATAAAATCATTCCTGCTGGAAACCTGGAGGACTGCCCTTAAGAAAGGAAAGTCCCCGATTGTTGTTGGAAATGCTAAGGAAGTTGCTGAGGAGGAGACTGTTTTCTTATCCCACTAAATACTTCTTCTGGTTTCTCGTTTTTTCCCTAGTCGCCTTCTCTGTTTTAAGAATTTATCAAAAGCCCGAATTTCTAAGCATCGAACATTTGGATCTAGTTGGGGAGAATCCTAATAGTAATATTAATTGCACCAAAGTTTTGCAGGGTGATGTAGCCGAAATCGAAAAGGCGAAGCTGGAGAGTCTCACAGTGCAATTTAGAAGGCGCCCTCGGTGGACAGCCTATGACTATATAAACATGACTAGTGATTGTACTTCTTTCATCAAGAGACGCAAATACATCGTAGAACCTCTCAGCAGAGAAGAGGCAGAGTTTCCCATCGCATATTCCATAGTGGTGCACCACAAAATCGAAATGTTGGACAGGCTTCTGAGGGCCATCTACACGCCTCAGAACTTCTATTGCCTTCACGTGGACAAAAAGTCAGAGGATTCCTTTCTGGCCGCGGTGACGGGCATTGCATCCTGCTTCGCTAACGTCTTTGTGGCCAGTCAGCTGGAGACCGTGGTGTACGCATCGTGGAGTCGGGTCCAGGCCGACCTCAACTGTATGCAGGACCTCCGCAGAATAAACGCAGGCTGGAAGTACCTGATAAACCTCTGCGGCATGGATTTCCCTATTAAAACCAACCTGGAGATTGTCAGGAAGCTCAAGTCACTGACAGGAGAAAACAGCCTGGAGACGGAGAAGATGCCGCCCCACAAAAAAGAGAGGTGGAAAAAGCACTACGTGGTCGTGGACGGGAAGCTGACAAACACGGGGACTGACAAGACGCAGCCTCCTCTGGACACACCTCTGTTTTCGGGCAGTGCCTATTTCGTGGTCAGCAGAAAATATGTAGAGTACGTGCTGGAGAATGAAAAGATCCAGAAGTTTATGGAGTGGGCAAAAGACACCTACAGCCCGGACGAGTACCTCTGGGCCACTCTTCAGAGGATCCCTGAAGTCCCCGGCTCAGTGCCCTTAAGCAATAAGTATGACACGTCCGACATGCAAGCCATTGTGAGGTTTGTCAAGTGGCAGTACCTGGAGGGTGACGTGTACAAGGGCGCCCCCTACCCGCCCTGCAGCGGGGTGCACGTGCGCTCCGTGTGTGTGTTTGGGGCAGGCGACCTGAACTGGATCCTGCGCAAGCACCACTTGTTTGCCAATAAGTTTGACATGGACATTGACCTCTTTGCCATCCAGTGTTTGGATGAGCACCTGAGGCACAAAGCCCTGGAGGTGTTAAAACACTGACATTTACTGTAGGCAACTTTAGAAATAATGGGGCGGTCGCAAGAGATGTATCCCATCTAACACTTCTGCTCTGTTAATTAGCATCAGAAACACTGTAGGGGTTTAGAGCTGGACTCTAAATCATCGTGTCAGGGAAGGTACATGGTCTCTGCAGGGCACAGCCAGTTAGAAAGGTGATGGCAGTAAACCTTGACTTAGTGCTAATGGGAGGCCAACGCCAAGTTGCAAGGCATTGTGGGGAGAGGTCACGCAGGTGGCCCGGAAGAGGCCCAAGGCAACCACCAGGGACGTAATAAAATGATAAGATGTAACATGTGCCAAAATCGCTTCCAGAGCTTTAGACATGCCAGTCTTCCCAGTTTGAATAAATTTATAGCAACAACCAATCATGGGGGTATAATTTATTTTGTAGGTTATATTTGTTGAATTAGAAAAATTGACATTACTGTAAATGATTCTTGTGAATATAATTTACTGTCTGCTGCAACATTGTGCTGTGTATTGCATCTATGTTATCTCAGGGAACTTGGAAAAAACAGGCTTGACTGAATGTAAATGTTTCTGAGTAATTTTTGCTTCTACCAATGTATCGATACATATGTTTTTAAAAAACAAAAACAAAAAAAGGCGGTTTCTGGTTTAGCTGATTCTATGAATCATCTTAGATGATTAGAAAAGATATCTTAGGTTACTAAAAGGGTTAAGATATTTTTGTTTATGATTATAGTTTCTACAGAGTAACACTCAATTTTGAAAATATTTGTTTCTCTACTGCTTTCTGCCATCTCCCTAGACCCTGCTATCAAGCTATATAAAAGCTTATTTTTCATGACCCCATAGTACTGCCTCAGTTCTAGTATATGATTCGATTGACAGTAATTAGTGTAGTGAGCTAAGACAGAAAGGAATGGGGGGGGGGGGCGCGAGGAATAGGAGTCATATTTTGACCATTTCTGAGGCCCAGAGTGAGGGTGAAAAACCAGCAGTTGGCACTATCCCCAGAAATTACGGCTGTTGCTCTTCGTCTCTATCCAACCTCCCGGAGCCTTGCATCCTAGTGTCACCTAATGTTTCCATTTGAAAGAAACTGGTTTCATTGTCATTGCTTCATGTTACCTGCCCACTGGTTGCTCCTTAGCCCTTGGGTTGTATGTTTTTTCTCTCTCTCAGAGCCTATGAGGAGGGAAGAGGTGTTCTGATGGTCTACTACACGGTGACCTTATTTCAGTATTGGTATTATTCAGAGCACACGATTTTCACTTTACCTTTTCACCAAAAAGACAGATAATTTGAGGTTGCTAATTGCTGTCTCATCTCAAAGTAAATGAAGATATTTAAAAACAACAACAAGCTTGCTCTTTTGCTAACCTGATACTGTTCAGCCAAAGATCTAGCAGGAAATGTGAAGCTTTATCACTTCTGGGACTAAGCAAAAATCCAAACCATGTACTTTACTTTTAAAGCATAACCAACTTAAAAAATATATAAGAAATTCATAATGTCAATTTTCAGGCCTTCAACTGAGAAAACATTTTTTTAATGTTTTTTTGTTTTTGTTTTTGTTTTTTGATTTCAGAGAAGAAGGGAGAGGGAGAGAGAGAGATGAAAACATCAATGATGCGAGAGAATCACTGATTGGCTGCCTCCTGCACACTCCCCACTGGGAACTGAGCCTGAAACCCAGGCATATGCCCTGACCAGGAATCGAAACCGTGACCTCTTGGTTCCTGGGTCGACACTCAACTGCTGAGCTACACTTGGCTGGGCGAGAAAACATTTTTATTCCTCAAAGTCAGGAAACATTTTCATTTTATGGAGAAGTTAGTTATACTGATTGTGCTGAACAAAAGTTTCATGTTTTTTTAAACCTTTATCATTTATAAGCGTGCAAGTCAGTGGATGGCTGTGTTTTGCATGATTTGATATTTGGAAAACTCAAGCGCTGACATTGCTTAGGGTGTTATATGCTTAGGATTTCATCCCTGTTCCCTTCTAACCCAGTTTGCTCTTTTAATGCAAGTCAAATGCTTCTCCCATTCTCTTTCAGCAGAAAGACTTTACCTATAAGTAGGGCATTTTTCTTTACTCTAAAACCAATGATATTCAGTGGCATATGTTGTGTATGTCTTATATTTTTATTTCAGTCATAGAGTCTTGTTTTATGTATTTTTTTCATTTTTATTTAAAAAATTTGCAAATTAATAGGAAATCTAAAAGCAATAGTACAGGGAACCAAGAAGGTTGCGGGTTTGGTTCCCAGTCAGGGCACATATTTAGGTTGTGGGATTAAGACATGCACGTCTCACATCGATGTTTCTCTTTCTCTTTCCCTAACTCTCTCTAAAATCAATAAACATATCTTCAGGTGAGAATTTTTTTAAAAAAGCAATAAGCAATAGTAAAGGGAATACTAAGTAACCCTCTCCTGGAGTTATAGATGTTAATATCATGTCCCCTTTGCTTTAAATTGTGCAGATTTTTAACATTTTATTAAAACTGTAAATTTTTAAAAGTTTTTTAAATTAACATTATCTAAAGTTACATTCATCTCAACACTTATCATAGTGTGATTGTATCTGATTTACATTTAAAGTGGCAGGTTTTGAGGGATTTTTCTCCACCCCAGATATAAAAATAGGACTTTAGAGTTCATTTCCCTGAACCCCACACTAAAACTGCAGACCTACCATCTTTTATGTAGCTGTGGAAACTCATCGTTCTAGAACGGTACTTGTTGAGATGTATCTGAACATTACCCTATTGCTAAAGGCTGTTAAAGGGATTATGTAGAATTTGTTTATCAGGACTCTTTTATATCTTTCAGCTTAACCTAAAGCAAATGAAATTTATACTCCTAAGACAAGCAATTTAAAGAATCAAAAAGTTGGTTTGAAGCAGCCTACTCACCAAAGAGTCACAGGTTCAATTCCCAGTTAAGGGCCATGTGCATGGGTTGAAGATTTGATCCCCAGCCCTAGTTAGAGTGTGTGTAGGAGGCAAACCAATCCATGTATCTTTGTCACATTGATCTCTCTCTGTCTCTTACTCTCTCTCATTCCTCCTTCTTTTCATCCCTCCTACTTTCTCTAAAAATCAATGGAAAAAAATCCTCCCCGCTACCGCCACACACAAAAAGGAAGCCCATACTACATTCAGGGGGGGGCAAAACACCGGTACTTTGGGAAAGATTAAGAAATTATTTAAATTGTTTCATATATCAGCTATTAAACACTAATTTCTTTTAACTGTCATTTAAGAGCTCCTGTATGAATTTTTTATAGCTCATTCACAAATGAACTCCTAAACATAAATACATTGAAATTTTTGATAGAAAGATTATTCTAGTTAATAAAATACTGCAAAAAGTTTTCAATATTACTTATTAAGGACAAGTTGACAAAAATGTTTCTTTCTTTTATAGACAATTGAAACAATGGTTAACAGCCACTCAGCCTTGTGAATGTGAAGTGTTTGTTATCAGTCTCTAAATGTGTATTTGTGTCATTCATCAAATATAATTCACTTAAATGAAATAACATAAATGGTTTTCTTTTGTAGTTATTTGGGGACCAGAGAGTTTTTAGTTTATTTCATTTGTAAGATCAATTGAACTGGATTTTTCCAGTTGCTTAGAAAAATAAAAATAATTTATCATTATGTTAAATATAAAATAAATGCAACACTGTTTCGTGGTAAACATGATTACTGTTAAGTTTACTCTTTTTAATGTGGGCATGACTGAATGCATTTGGAACTTGTCATATTACCACCATTAAAATCGGCCATTAACACCAGCCATTCCAAAACCATTGCCTCCTCTCCACAAATTATTCTTTTTTTGCTAGCTACCAGCACTCAAATGTTAGTAGTCGATGCGGTGTTGTGTGTGAATAGTGATTAAAAAATACAAGATTAATTCCCCAGGCAGAAATGTCTGATAGGGAGAGGGCAGGACAAGGGCAGGAAACATAGCAGAGGTTATGCAAAAAGACTGAGACAAAGGGCATTAGAAGGACGCAGTTTAATAGGCAGTCTTTTTTTCTTTTACTTAAATATGGGAAAACTTAATTGTTTAAGTTTAAGTTTAATTAATGCCCTTTCTAAGGGCATTGCTAGCTTTCGTTTGTCTGCTGAGGGGAGGAGAGCAGTTTTCCAGTCAGGTTTTCTACTCACTGGCCACACATGCTCACAGGATCTGCTCCTTGCGGTGGTTTACATGTGGAGGGCACAGCGGAGGGAAACGGGAAGCCCCTTCCCACCAAACACCCCACCAAACACTGAGTGCTGTCTCCCAAGTCCTCTCCCCTCACCTGCTTAACAACCCTTACTTAGCCCCTTTTCAGAGGAAACCGTCTAGAAAGTATCGAAATTGTCCTCAGGTCTTTCTCCAAAGCTTGAGAGCTTTGCGTATCTTTTGTAAGCTGCTTGTCTAATAATTTTTAACATGTGCTATCTTAAACGTTTTCAGAGCTTGTCATTAGAATATTGATTTAATTTTTTTTTATGCACTAAGGCTCAAACCAGAATGAGTTGTAACTATCAGATAAGACTGTTCTCATCACTGCAGATGATAGGATTGTCTAAAAAGCTCAGGAATCTCGTTTTAGGATTAATATGAAATTAGCAAATACCTCCAGTATCCAAAAATTAAGTTTTCCCATATTTAAGTAAAAAAAAAAAAAGTTTTAAGATATAATGGGGATATGTTCCCTTCCATTATGGCAATAAGCTCTATAAAGTGTATTGGGGCCCAAGACAGGCTGCCTCAAATATCCTACAGTTGATTACTTGGAATTAAATTTACTTGATAAGCAGCTGGTGCCCAAGGGGGCACCTTGACCCATCCTCGTCACCTTGAATACTAGAAATAAATCTCCCATGGGAATGTTTTTCTGGCTGCACCTGGAAGCTCATCCTCCCAAGGTGTTAATTCAGAGCCATAAAGTCTGTATAATCAAATGATTACATATACACAAAACAAGATATTAACCCTATAATAGACTCCCTCTTAACACAGGGCATACTGCTTTTCACTTCCTCACCCTGTATCAGTTTAATCTTGCTAGTGAAGAAAGAAGGCAAATTTGATTCAGCTAAGACTCAAATTTCTTGATTTGTATAGGACCTAAGAGCCATAAGCTCTCATAATTCCTTTGCACCTTACAGTCCCAAATCTGGCTACTATTCTCACCATGATTCCTGCTAAGGCAGCCTGGTTACAGCGGTTGAACGAGGCTCTGCTTTCTCTTCGGTCCCTTTGCACCCCAGCTCACTGTTTCTCTTTGCATTTGCATTTACATATGCATTTACAGTTACCTGGACTAGCATACCTCAAGGATACTGTGAGCCTCCCTCAATATTTTCCCACATCCTTATAGCCAACTTAGATCCTGCAACCTTTACCCAAAGCTTCATTTATTGCAATATATTATTGACTTTTTACTCTGTAATCAAACTGAGCAGGAAACTTACAGATATTCTCTCTCTCTCTCTTCATCTTCACCAGAGGATATGTTTATTGATTTGAGACAGAGAAAGGGAAAGAGACAGAGAAGCAACGGATGCCTCTGTATGCACACCAAGGGTTATCAAACCAGCAACCTAGGTATGTGCCCTGACCAGGAATCCAAACTGCAACCTTCAGTGCATAGTATGACACTCCAACCAACTGAGCCACACTGGCCAGGGCTCCCTCTTCAAGGTACTAGATAAACAAGGCCATAAAACCTCCAGTTATATTCTCAAAGTGTTGATAAAACTGTTCTATAATAAATTTCATCTGAAAGAAACAATGTGCAAGAATAGCTAGGAATACTTCCAAAGAGGGAATTAATGAAGTCTAGCAATACTAGATTTGAAGCCATGTTTCAAAAAATATTAAGTGTAGTATTCTTTAACATTTGAACTCTTAGGCCAATAATAATGCAGAGAAAGGTATTAATATATGTAAAATATTGCAAAGAAACCATCAGAACATAGTAAGAAAGGAAAGAGTAAACTTAATCATAAGTACCTAGTTAGAGAACATTTTGAAAAGATTATAGCCTACTTTATGTAAAAATCCAGACGGATTAGAAAAAAAAAACCAAAAAACTAGAAGAACATATTGGGGACTGTATCTGCAAGTGATGGGATCTCCAAATAAAAGCAATAGGAATGCTCATTAAAGAACAGATTATAGAATTAACTAAAAGTATCTATCTTCTAAATATTCGAAAGCAAAGGAAAACAGAATTGAAAAATTTGCCAACAGAGTTTGAAAGAGGGACACGAAGTAGCTTAATGTGGAAATTATTTATGCTAATGTTTAAAAAATAGCTTTGAATAGGCAGACATACCTCCATGTGGGGCTGGGGAGGGATGAGAAGAGATAAACCAAAGAACTTATGTATTTAATATACATAGCCCATGAACACAGGCAATAGGGTAGTGAAGTCCTGGTGAGTAGGGGCTGAGATGAGGAGGGTAAAGGGGACAAAAATGAGAGACATCTGTAATACTATCAACAATAAAAAAAAATTTAAAATAATAAAATAAAAATTAGCTTTATCAAGATAAAATTTGTATACCATACCATTCACCCATTTAAAGTTTACAATTC